ACCTTATTAGTTCGCTCAACCTCGTTGCACCACACGTGTACGTGGTGATGTGTTTTTGTCCGATTTACTGTGCTACCTCCAGAATGCCCAGCTCAGGGGCAATGTTAAGAGCTGAGAAGAACAATTAAAAAATACCTTTAAAAATAATACTATTTCTGGGGCCCCTGGATGGCTCAGTCGGTTAGGCATCCGACTCTTGATTTTTGGCTCAGGTCATGATCAGGTTGTGAGATCGAGCCCCACATGGGGAGTCTGCTTGAGATTTTCTCTCTCTCTCCCTCCCTCTGCCCCTCCCCCATGCACTCCCTTTTCCCCACCCCAAATAAAATCCTTTAAAAAATAATACTATTTCTTTCTCTTCCTGTGGCTGACTGTAATCTTCCATCTGCTCAGACCCTTAAAAAGGCGACTATGTCCTAAGAGACTTTGATACCTTCCCCTACGTTCCCAAGCTGGATTTGCCAAGTGTGTCTCTCTCTTATTAGCTGATGTTTCCTATCAGGGTCACAGGCATTGAACGTTTCCACCGACCGCCCCTCCCCACACTCACAAAGAAAGGCGAGGGAGTTTTCTTAAACTCACAATAACCTTCCCAGTGACCCTACAAATATGACCTTAAACCACAATTTGGCTTCAAGAACTGGTTCCTGGTCTGATCCTTAGATAACATTTTCTGAACAGAATCCTGTTGTGTGGAAATTATCCAGAAACAATGGCAGCCTCCAAGTATACGACCAGCCATGGAACAGAAAGGCTCAGGGATCAAAGCCACAGGCTATGGTAAGTCGATGTAGAACACGTGTGAAATTCAAGAGGCAGGAAAAGTGGCAGGTAATGCTTTGCATGGGGTGCAGGTGGAGGGGGGAAGGACCACGTACCCGGATCCTGCGTCACGTCCTGTCCTGCTCTCAGCCTTTCCACCAGTGCATGGTGACCACACATTGAGCAAGGGGCTAACACATGGATGCTATGGGGGCCACCATATGCTGGGGCTTTATTGGAGAGGCTCAGGGTAAGCACTGTTGGCCCAGTTGTAGCCCACGGCAGCCCACAGGGCAGCTGTGACATTAGTCTGTGTTTGACAAATGCACCAAATTGGGCCATGACAGGGGTCACTGATGGTACCTGATTTAGGATTGTCAAAGCCGTCAGCCTAGACGTGCACGGTCAGCTTCTCATGGCTTGGCCTTTCCACCCCTGCCTCTCCATGCTAACATCCCTGCTCATTCCTTCCTTTTTGTTATGTCACGTCCTGTAGGTTACCAACTACCTGCATGTCACATATCTTAGGAGCGCCACCCACATCTCACAGGCCACAGGTTTCCCACTGTCTGTACTTGACACATTTTCAGTTTTGCAGATCCCCCTTGTTGGAAGGGGGACCATTATGGAAAAATTGACCAGTCTCCCATGCAGCGGATGATCATGACACCTGCCCTTTGGTGATTTGCAGCAATGAGGGCTCCTTGGTAGCAAGGAACAGACACCAGCTGTCATGGGCTAAGTTGTGTCCCCATCAAATTCGTATGTTGAAGTCTTGACCCCTGGTAGTCAGAACATGACTTTTTTTTTAAAGATTTATTCATTCATGAGAGACACGCAGAGAAAGGCAGAGACACAGGCAGAGGGAGAAGCAGTTTCCCTGTAGGGAGCCCGATGCAGAACTCGATCCCAGGATCCCAGGATCAAGCCCTGAGCCCAAGGCAGATGCTCAACCACTGGACCACCCAGGCGCCCCAGAAGGCCTGTTCCTAAAAACAAAATAGAAAATATAGGGATCCCTGGGTGGCGCAGCAGTTTGGCGCTTGCCTTTGGCCCAGGGCACGATCCTGGAGACCCGGGATCGAATCCCACATCGGGCTCCCGGTGCATGGAGCCTGCTTCTCCCTCTGCCTATGTCTCTGCGCCTCTCTCTCTCTCTCTCTGTGACTATCATAAATAAATTTAAAAAATTTTTTAAAAAAATAGAAAATATAAAAAACTTTCCACTGCCAAGCATTGTACTCAAATATAGAAATTATGAGAGCAGCCTCCTCTCTTCTGAGGGAATCCAGGGGTGTGGGGTGCAGAGGGCTTACCCCCAGTGGCCACCCTCCGCCCAGTTTCCCCAGGGCCTTTTAAGAGCCGAATGTATGTGAGTCTGTGCGTGCTTGCATGCGTGTGTGTGTGCACGCATGTGAGAGACACGTCCTTCCTCGTGCCTTATCAGCAGAACTGTTCCCACGAAGGCGCTTTGTTGTCACAGCTGCCTGCTTCCCACCCTCTCCAGGCACCTCAAGGACTCGAGGGGCCCCAGGCAGCCATGAACTGGCCACCCTGAATTCTCGCTGCTGGGAGAAGGGGGCTGGAGGGTAGCCTAGAAGGTATTGGGAGAGGGCTGGGAAGGGAGCCTGCAGGGGCCAGGAAGGGGGATCTGCAGGGTGCCAGGAGGGGCCCAGGAAGGGAGCCTGCAGGGGGCCAGGAGGGGCCAGGAAGGAGGCCTGCAGGGGCCAGGAAGGAGGCCTGCAGGGGCCAGGAAGGGCCCAGGAAGGGAGGCTGCAGGATGCCAGGGGGGCCAGGAAGGGAGTCTGCAGGGGCCAGGAGGTAGGCCAGGAAGGGGATCTGCAGGGTGCCAGGAGGGGCCCAGGAAGGGAGCCTGCAGGGGCCAGGAGGGGCCAGGAAGGAGGCCTGCAGGGGGCCAGGAAGGAGGCCTGCATGGGGCCAGGAAGGAGGCCTGCAGGGTGCCAGGAAGGGAGTCTGCAGGGTGCCAGGAGGGGGCCAGGAAGGGAGTCTGCAGGGGGCCAGGAGGTAGGCCAGGAAGGGGGATCTGCAGGATGCCAGGAGGGGCCCAGGAAGGGAGTCTGCAGGGGGCCAGGAGGGGGCCAGGAAGGGAGTCTGCAGGGGGCCAGGAGGTAGGCCAGGAAGGGAGATCTGCAGGATGCCAAGAGGGGCCCAGGAAGGGAGCCTGCAGGGGCCAGGAGGGGGCCAGGAAGGAAGTTTGCAGGGTTCCAGGAAGGGAGTCTACAGGGTGCCAGGAGGGTGCCAGGAGGGGGGTGTGCAGGAGGCCAGGAGGAGGCCAGGAAGCAGGTCTGCAGGGTGCCAGGAAGGGAGTCTGCAGGGTGCCGGGAGGGGGCCAGGTAGGAGGCCTGCAGGATGCTAGGAGGGGGCCAAGAAGGGAGTCTGCAGGGTGCCAGGAGGGGGGTCTGCAGCGTGCCAGGAGGGTGCCAGGAGGGGGGCCTGCAGGGTGCCAGGAGGGGCCAGGAAGGGAGTCTACAGGGTGCCTGGAGGGTGCCAGGATGGGGCGTGCAGCAGGCCAGGAGGGTGCCAGGGAGGAGGCCTGGAAGGGAGTCTGCAGGGTGCCAGGAGGGTGCCAGGATGGGGCGTGCAGCAGGCCAGGAGGGTGCCAGGGAGGAGGCCTGGAAGGGAGTCTGCAGGGTGCCAGGAGGGGGCAAGGAGGGGGGCTTGCAGTGGGCCAGGAGGGGCCAGGAGGGGAGCCTGCAGGGTGCCAGGAGGGGAGTCTGCAAGGTGCTGGGAGGGGGCCAGGAAGGAGGCATGGAGGGTGCCAGGAAGGTGCCAGGAGGGGGGCCTGCAGTGGGCCAGGAAGGGGGCAGGAGGGGCCTGGAGGGGAGTCTGTAGGGTGCTGGGAGGGGGCTAGGAAGGTGGCATGGAGGGTGCCAGGAAGGTGCCAGGAGGGGGGCAGGAGGGGCCAGGATGGGAGTCTGTAGGGTGCTGGGAGGGGGCCAGGAGGGTGGCGTGGAGGGTGCCAGGAGGGGGCCAGGAGGGGGGCCTGTAGGGTGCCAGGAGGGGGCCGGGAAGGGGCCAGGAGGGGGGCTGCTGGGTGGCCTGGGGCCCACTGCATGGGCTGCGGTGACTCCTCTGTGTTCCCCGCGCAGAGGACACAGCCCCTCACATCGCCACCGGGCTCCTGTCCTGCCCGGCACCTCCTCTGTCTCCTTGAACCCGAGGAGGAAGGTGCACGTCCCCAGGGCCCCCAGCCCCCTGCCCCCAGCTCTGGCCCCTGCACCCCCTCGTGCAGCCTCAGCCCTCACCCCTCGGGCTCCGCAGCCCACACAGCTTCAGGGAGCTGGGGCCACCCAAGGATGAGGTGCAGGTGCATGGCCATCTGCCCTGAGCATCCCCTGAGGAACTCGGGGTCCCGGAGCTATCGGGGTGCCCCCATCGGCTCTCTGTCAGGCCCCCACACTGGCCACCGACTGTTTTCTCTGCTTCCCCTTGGCTTCAGTCCCGGGGGATTCTTGGGGAGGTTGTGACTTTCCGCAAGGCCGAGTGGCGGAGACCTCTCCCTGTCCCCACCTCCCGGGCAGGGACAGAAGGACGCGTGTCCCCACCCTCCTGAGGTAGGGCCACCCCAGCAGGCGTCCCCGGCTCTGTCTAGGTCTGCGGTCCGGATGGTAGAGCCAAGATCATGCACCCACACACCCTGGACGGTCCATGGTGGACGGTGGACCCGATTTCTCTCCAAGTCCCAGGCTGGGAGGCAAAGCTGAGCTGCTCGCCGGCCCTTGGCTCCCTCCGTCCCGCGGCGGGGACCCACGAAGTCAGTCACCCCGTCACCCGGCCCTGATGGACACCCCAGGCCACAGGAGCACCTTGAGTCACGGGGCCCCTGGTCTATGTGTCATGGGAAGTGTCCCCAAAGCCACAAGGTTCCCTGGGGCGTGAGCTAGAGGGAGACACCTCCCGACCTAATGTCCTGCTGCGTTGGCCCCACTAGAGACCTCACCTATTCGGTGCATGAGGGCACGTGTGACTCATGAAGGAACAACATGGGGGGTTGCTCAGGTGTCCCAGCCTCCCCGCCCCTGTGTCCCCTCCTTGCATCCTTGAGATCCTCAGTAGGCCCGTGATTCAGGAGGGTGGCGGGGCCGGTCGGGAGCGTGTCGGCCCACGTGGCCCCCTTCTCGTCACTTACAGAGCCACGAAGGTCAGGATGAGGTATCACTTGGAAGGGAGTTGGTTTTGAAAACATGAAGATGTGCCTCTTGAGCGTCCCCACACACCTCCCCCTGCTGCTGCTCTCGCCCCATGCGTAGCCCGATGTTCGGCTGAGAGCCCCACGGGGGGCTTAGGGGGAGGTCGGGCTAAGATGCCAGGCATGGAGGAGGGGACGAAGGGACCGGCCCAGGCTGGAGGACTCAGCCGAAGCACCTTCACGCGGGGCCCTGGTGATGTGTTCTCAAGCGACAGAAACCCCAGTAGTGGCGCTTTGACCCATCAGGACCGTTGGGTTTGCTCAACACGAGGTCTCCAGGTGAGTGAGTCACATGCGTCAGGTCACGGGCGTCAGGGCTCTAGGCCTGTGGCTTTTCCTCATGAGCACAGAATGGCTGCCCGAAGCACCGCGTCACACTCTAGACCACGCGGTGTGGGGAGGCAGGCGCAGGCGCTGCCCCCCGGGATGCTCAGCCGCGTGACAGTCTGGCGGCCTTGGGCGCTGCCCCCACTGCCCACACCCGGTCCCCCTGGGCGGCCCTGCGAGCGCCTCATTCCCCCCTCTGGGGCAGGGGGACCCGTGGCAGGAGGCCGCAGGCGGAAACGGCGCACCCCCCTTGCAAAGAAAGGACAGCCGTTTGCAATCTTTAAAAAGGACAGAAAGCACGAGCAACATTCATCTCTTTTAATCTTTAAGCCAATTTTGAGTCCAGGGCTGTGCGCAGTCCGGCGATGCAGCGAGCCGAGGTGCGGATGCACGAGGGGGCCCCCGCGTGCCTGCCGGGGACGGGGACGGGGTGGCGGGGCTCCCGGGCACCCGGCGAGGCCGCCCAGCTCCTGGCGCCGCTCCGCCGCAGGCATCTAGAAGGGGCACTCCTCTGAGGGGCGAGGGGGGGAAGGAGACAAGGCAGTGAGAACCTGGGGTGTGCTCGCTGCGAAATCACCACAGAGATCCCCCCTCGGAGGCCCCAGGGGGAAAATTTCTTAGAAAATGTGCCCCCCCTTCGTGTCTTTGTTGTGACTTTCTGGGCTCCCGCCCAAGGGGGCGGAAAGTGCCAGCAGGACTCTCCACGGGCTTGCGCTCAGCGGCGCGAAGACGAACGGGGACAAACACGGACTCCTCGCCGAGCGGCTCTCTGAGCCTCGTCTTTGGGTCCCCACCCCGACGTCAGCCTGATGCAGGCTGGACCCCACCACCACCACGCTCACACCGGGGCCCCCCTTGTGGGTGCAGACACGGCTGGCCATGCAGACTAAGGGGACCCCTGCGCCCCCATGGGGTTTCCTCCCTGATTCTGCATCCTCAGACCCCACAGAGCCACCGAGGCCATACCTTCGGGAGGGTTGTCCACGGCCACAGGGTGGTAGCACCACGGGACCCCACGAACAGTGTTGTCGAAACAGCAGCCCTTGTCCTTACACTGGGAAGGCGTGATGCCCGGAACGCCACAGTTGTCTCTGTGGTGAGGGGCCACCGTGCACGTCTCTGGAAGGGCGGAGGCAAGAGGCAGGTGAGAACCCATTGGCCCGGACCTTCCTTCTCCAACTGAACCAGCAGGCAGCCAGCTGGCGCCACGGATGGGGACTCGGGGCTCAGAGGACAGGGGGCGTCCTGTCCCCATCTCCGGACATGAAAACCCTTCAGCTCAGGGCAAATGCAAGGTGCCCGGGGTTTGTCGACTTTCCCCCTCCCGACGTACCGTATCCATGCGTTCATTTTTTTTTTTAAAGAATTTTTTTTTTATTTTTTAATTTTTTTTATTTATTTATGATAGTCACAGAGAGAGAGAGAGAGAGAGAGAGAGAGAGAGAGAGGGGAGAGAGAGAAGCAGGCTCCATGCACCGGGAGCCCGACGTGGGATTCGATCCCGGGTCGCCAGGATAGCGCCCTGGGCCAAAGGCAGGCGCCAAACCGCTGCGCCACCCAGGGATCCCATCCACGCGTTCATTTACTTCCACAAACAATACTCTGACGTTACTCAGTCAGGAAATATCTACCAAATGCCGCGCGTGCTCGAAACAGAAATCCGCGCAGCGCAAGTCGACGGCGAGGGTCACCGAGGATCGAGCGCGTGCGGGGCCCTGCGCCAGCTGATGGGGACCCAGAAATCAAAAACAGAGAGGTCGTGGCTAAGACGCTAACCGTCTAATGGAGGAGAAAAGCAAGTAAATGTCCGAAACAGCGCAGGGTGGGCATCCCAGGGCGCTGAGGGCGAGTACGGAAGGGACAAGGACAAGGCTGAACAAAGCAAGGACGGCTTCCTGTGGGAGGAGGTTTACCAGGCGGGGATGGGGCAGTGGGTGTACCCTGCGGCGGGAATAGGTGTTCAAAGGCAGTCGAGAGAGAGAGAGAGAGAGAGAGAGAGAGAGAGAGAGAGGAGAGGAGAGCGCGTGCGCAGGGTGTATTTCAGGGGTGGAGGTCCGTTTGCAGGAAAGATGCGGAGACTAGGGTGTGTGGGTGCCGCAGGCGCTCTGTAGCCCCGACCCCGAGGATGGTGGAGGCCAGCACGGCGGAGGACACGTGGGGCAGACGCACCGGGGAGGCAGGGCTCCCTGAGGTCTACCCAGGAGAACCGAAGGGGCTGAACCCACATCCGTTCCTCTGTTAAACCCAGCAAGGCCTAGTGGAGAAGGCGAGCCCAGGAGGGAGCTGCCCCCAGGGCTTCTGTGCTCTCATCCCCGGGCCGCCTCAAGCCGTCTCTGAAGGAAGGGTCTGTGGCCTCGCGGGAAAGGTCTGGGCCACCTCTCACTGGCGGGGTGGCCTCTGCAGGTGGCATTACCTACCCCCAGGGCGCTTGTGAAGTCAGGAGGAGCTGTGTGTGTGCTTGTACGCATGTGTGCATACATACATACATATGTGTGTGTGCATTTGTGTGTGCATGTGTGTACGTGTGTGCATGTTTGTATGTGTGCCTGTATGCATGTGTGCATGTGCATATGTTTGCATGTATGCCTTATGCATGTGTGCCTGGGTGTATGCGCATGTGTGCCTTGTGTCTGTGTGCATGTGCACGTGTGTGCATGTGTGCCTGTATACCTGTGTGCCTGTATGCCTATATGCACGTGTGCATGTGTGTGCCTGTGTGCATGCACATGTGTGTGCATGTGTGTATGTGCACATATGTGCATGTGTACATGTGCATGTGTACATGTGCACATATGTGTGTGCGTGTGTGTGCATACATGTGTGTACCCCATTGTTTGTCATTCTCCATCAGGTCCTCAGAAGGCACCCCAAGGTGCACCATAGTTTCCTCTCCCTCTCCTCAAACCTCTACGGAAACCCTTGTCTGGAAATCCTGGGAAACCTTTGGCCATGGCACCTGCCGAGAATGAGTAGCACTTACCGAGCACAGTGGAGCTGGCAAAGTGCTCTCCAGAGCCCTCGTCACCCCCCACCCTGTGCCCCCGTGGCCAACGCCCCACTCCGGGGTCCGGGAGCTGAGACAGTAGCTTAAGGGGCAGAGCACTCCGTGGCTTGTGGCACCACAGAGATGCACCCCGTGCATCGAACACCAATAAAAAATAAATTTATTATTAAAAAAATAAAATAAAATAAAATATTTAGAGACCACCGGGGTCCTCAGGGGACATTCATCCGCGGAATGTGCACTTGGGCATCTGGGTGGCTTTGACCAGCGTCCGGTTTGGACATGTGGGGGAGTAGTTGTTCTCACACACCCCCCCCTCCAAGACCTCTCTTCAAGGTCCTGTGCTGGGAGTGGTGGGTGCTGGACGCAGCAAGCCGTGACCAGGGCTCCTGCATCCCCACAGCAGCGCTCGGAGCTCCAGTGGCCATCGCCCTGCTGGTGCTCTCTGCCCACCTTCACCCCCTAAAATCCTCCCAGGGCCCAGAAGAGCGCTTGGTTCAAATGCATGGATGGTGGCCCAGGGTCCCCCGGGGGTGGGGGGCTGACCAGGGCCTGGTGACCACTGGGAGGTGGGAGGAGGGCCACTTACCCTGCTGGCCCTGGGCCAGGGAGCTGAGGGTCAGCGCACAGACCAACACCAGGACGTAGATCACCCTGTGCTCCATGGTGGCGCGAGCGTCCTCTCTGCTCCAGGGGAGACCACGAGTCGGGGATGGGACCGTGGGAAGGCCCTTGGTTTTATGCGCAGGCTCTGTTTGCCCAGAGTGTTGGGTAACGTTTGCCTAAGGAGGGTCCCACAGTCCTCCGCTCCAGGTAATCTCCACTGATTAAAACGGGTTTGCTGATACGGGCAAGTGCCGAGGCGCGCCGTCATCCTGGCCGAGGGACCTGAGATTCAGAACGTCCCTCCTGCCCCCTGGGCCTGACCCGATCGCGCTCCTAACTGCCGTGGGGGCCCTCCTGCGAATGTCAACACCACACTCACGGAAGGGTGAGTCATGTGAGAGCTGGCCCAGAGAGGCACAGTCATGTCAACGGTGGCTCAGGGGGTTGCCTCTGGGGCGGTCGGACCTTGGGGGAGGGGGTGCAGGCAGCAGAAGGAGCAAGAGCCCAGCCCGCCAGGCCATCCCCTCCAGGTCGGCATGCCAGTGACCTCCAACGACCCCCAGGGCTGGGGGGAGCCGAGGCTGCGCACGAGCGGCGGGAAAGGAGGAGGCCTGCACCCCCGGCCCCCCACCCCCAGGGCCCTCGGTCTGCAGACTTCATCTTTCCCTGGAGTTCTGTCTGTGGAGCGTTCCCAGGGCCAGGTCCTAGGGCAGCAGAGCTCCATTGGGTCCCTCACGGGGGAAACCTGGCTCGTGCAGAGGGGCCTCCCGCCAGGCGGCCTGACATTGAGAATGGGGGTGCCACATCCATTGAGCATCTGACGCTTGCTTTTGGCCCAGGTTGTGATCTTAGGGTCGTGAGATCGAGCCCCGCATCGATCGGGGCGTCTGCTTGAGGTTCTCTCTCCCTCCGCTCCTCCCCACTGCCCCCTAAAAAAAAGAAAATTTGAGAGTGTCTAACATCCAACTCAGAGGAACTGTGTATTTTAACTTGTTTACCTAAATTAACTTTTTGCTTTTCTTTTTCCTCTACAGCAGAGTCCTTTTAAAAATGGAACTGGAGGTATTATGCTGAGTGAAGTAAGTCAATCGGAGAAGGACAAACAGTGTATGTTCTCACTCATTTGGGGAATATGAATAATAGTGAAAGGGAATATAAGGGAAGGGAGAAGAAATGGGTAGGAAATATCAGAAAGGGAGACAGAACATGGAAGACTCCTAACTCTGGGAAAGGAACTAGGGGTGGTGGAAGGGGAAGAGGGCGGGGGTGGGGGTGAATGGGTGATGGGCACTGAGGGGGGCACTTGACGGGATGAGCACTGGGTGTTATTCTGTATGTCGGCAAATTGAACACCGATAAAAAATAAATTTATTATTAAAAAAATAAAATAAAATAATATTTTTTGAAAAATGATGCTGTGTCCAGAGGAGCAGACATCTGAACTGACCGAGCAGTGGTGGGGACCCCTCTCCCCCTCACAGGCCCCCAGTAAAGGTCCCCTTGACTTCCTGCTCCAAGGGCAACCTCCGCCGGCCCTGCCCTGGCCCCGCCTGGTCGGGTTCTGGGCTCCCGGAGCCCTGCTGTGCCCGGTGTGCAGGGCGGGCTGCTGCCACACTGCGGGGAGTGTGCACTGCCCCCGGGGGACGGAAGGGACTGAGGGCTGGGGGCTTCGACTGCTCTGTACCTCCAGGTGCCCCTGCACCTCCAGGCCTTCTTATTCAATGAACATCCATCGAAGAATGAATGATGCGATGAATGAATGAATCAGTGAGCAATAGGAGAAATATTTTTTTTCCTCAGGGAAGCCCCGGTCAGAACTGGGGATGCCACCTTCTTGGTACCCTGCACCCTGAACCCAGCCCCCTCCCCCCGGGCTGCGCAGCAGGGTCTCCAGGAGGGGCTTCATGTTCAGGACCCGGGGTGGGGGGTGGATCTGCAGGGCACAGAGTCCTCCGTGGTGTGGGGGGTAGTTTGCCAAAGACGGTGTGTCGGGGGGGGGTGGATCTGCAGTGATGCTCCTGATCATGTAAAACCACCACTAATTTCTCAGAGCGGCACAGGAACTGGAGCTCTCAGACACGGAAACGCAAATTGCACAACTTGGAAGAAGAGGGTGTGGCTTTCATTGGGGTTGATGCTACACAGACTTACAGGCCAGCAATTCCGGCGGCTCTGGGCCTGCTGTGTCCCCAGATAAATCCCCACACCTAGGCAGAAGGAAACGGAGGCAAGGATGATCTCTGCAGCATTGCCTCTAATACCTCCGTTTTTAAGTTATTTATTTATTTATTTATTTATTTATTTATTTATTTATTTATTTTATGAGAGACCGAGAGAGAGAGAGAGAGAGAGAGAGAGAGAGAGAGAGGCCGAGACCCAGGCAGAGGGAGAAGCAGTCTCCCTGTGGAGAGCCTGATGTGGGACTCGATCCCAGGACCCTGGGATCACGCCCTGAGCCAAAGGCAGGAGCTAAACCACTGAGCTACCCAGGTGTCCCTGTAATACCTTTTTTTAAAAAGGAAGAAGAAATGGAGAAGCTGGGGAAAAAAGGAAGAAAGAGAAAGAAAATAAGGAGGGAAAGAAAGGAGGGAAAAGGAAGAAAGGAGGGAGGGAGGAAGGAAGGAAGGAAGGAAGGAAGGAAGGAAGGAGGGAAGGGAGGAAGGAGGGAAGGAAGGAAGGAAGGAAGGAAGGAAGGAAGGAAGGAAGGAAGGAAGGAAGGGGGAGGGAGGGAGGAGGGAGGGAGGAGTATAATGATCATCAGTGCCTGTGATGAGGGAGAGGGGGAAGAGTGTAGCACACACGTGTGCATCACATCCCTGCAGAAGATGGAAATGAAGAAATGAATGAATGAGTGAATGAGTGAGGGAACGGAAATGAATGACCATAGGAAGGGGAGCTGGCGGGGAAGCGCGGGAAGGGCGCTCAGCCCAACGTCCCGCAGCTGTGTTTCGGGAGCTGAGGCTGCCTGGTGGCACAGGGGGAGGCTGCTGCCCCCGGGTAAGGGCACATCTGGGAAGTGGGGACAGCGACATGCGATCAGTGCCACCGACGTGGGAAAGGAAATCTGAAGGAAGTGAGGTGGGAAGGTGGGCGTCCACTCACTAGGGAGGAAGACGCAGATTGGCGGGTGTCCATCCTGTTGTCGTGTGTGTTTGCAGTGACCTCCTGCTCCTGGGGACGGCTGGGTGGGGGGGGCGTGTGTGGCCTCATCCCCCGCGCTGAGGGCGGGGTGCTGTGACCGCTGCGGTGTGGCGGCCGTGCTCTCTGCATAAGGCCGGGACTCCTGGCGGGAATAACACCAGGTCACAGGATTACCCTATACGCCTGGGCTGGCTGGTCGGCTTTATTGTTGCGTAGAGGGGATCCCTGGGTGGCGCAGCGGTTTGGCGCCTGCCTTTGGCCCAGGGCGCGATCCTGGAGCTCCGGGATCGAGTCCCACGTCGGGCTCCCGGTGCATGGAGCCTGCGTTTCCCTCTGCCTGTGTCTCTGCCTCTCTCTCTCTGTGTGACTATCATAAATTTAAAAAAAAAAAATATATATATATATATATATATATATTGTTGCGTAGACTCCACGCCCAGCAGGGAGCCCAACGCGGGGCTTGAACTCAGGACCCTGAGACTGAGACTTGAGCTGAGATCAAGAGGCCGAGGCCTAACCACCTGAGCCACCCAGGCGCCCCCGGGGTTGTTTGTCATAAATGACGGTTTAGTGGAGCGGAAGGCACAGCGGGTTGAGAGCCGCCCACGAACGAGTCACCCGCGTCACATCGTGCAAGAATCTGAAAAATGAAGCGCCTGACCCCGCGATGGCCCTGATCTAACGCGCTGCTCTCTGCTCGGGCTCCACAGCCAGGGCGGGACCCTCGTGGAGGCCCCTCTCCCCAGTGTCACGCCGTGCCTTTGGCAGACCTCCGTCTTCAGCGCAGGGGTGAGTGTGCGAGGCAGGGGCTGGGTGCCCCCATGGGCCTTCGCCCTCTCTGTGCCCTGCGGGGGAGCCGCGTGGGCCCTGTCCCCCGCCGCCTGCTCTCTGTGGCCTCTGGCTGCTGTGAGTGGTACTCGGGAGGAGGGGAGCTCGGGTTTTACGTCCTGGTCCCTCCCTGCACGGTCACCACGCACAACCGCATCCCTGCGCCCGTGAGGGCCCCTGTCCACGCTCCTCCAGGCTGGGGGTGCACTCTGCGGTCTCTGCCTTCCACCTTCCTGGAGTTACCTGGCCTGAGAGCAACAGGCCTGCTTCCCGCCAGGCCTCTGCGTGACCCAGAAATCGCTACCCCGCTGACCCCGCTCACACAGCATCGAAATGAACCCCTGCCTTGGCCCCTCGAGAGCGTCTGCTGGTGGGGAATCAGGCACTGGTGGCCATGGCAGGGGGCAGTATCACGCGTCTCAGCCTAACAGGGAGGTGACATGTGAAGTGAGGTCGCACTTAAAGATTTGGGGTCAGCCCTACACGGTACGGAAAAGGAGAGGTCGAGGTGGGTCCTGGAGCCACAGGGCAGGCGGGGGCCTCTCCTGTCCTGGTGGCAGCAGCTACCCGTCAGCCCCTCCAGCTCCCTGGCAGCCAAGAGCAAAGAGTCAAACCCCGGGACATGCAGCTGGGACCTCTGGGGGCAGGAACGTGAGGCTGGGAGCCCTGGACTTTCTCCAGCAGCAGAGGCAACCCCTGGGCCTCTGTGGGAGGCGGGCAGCTCTCCTACCCACGGAGCTTCAGCTCACAGAGGGCAGCACGGGTGCCACTGTCCTCAGGACCATTCCACTCCTGACGCCGCTCCCAGGTGCACCAGGGTTAGACCCCTCACGGCTCACGGCCTGCTGGGAGGACAGCCTGCGCCCTGGAGGAGCTCCAGACCTGCATCGGGGGGTGTCAAGAGTCAGGCGGAGTCACCACCTGGAGGATGAAGGGCCCAGCTCCCAGGAGCTCCAGACCTGCATCGGGGGGTGTCGAGAGTCAGGCGGAGTCACACCTGGAGGATGAAGGGCCCAGCGCCGAGGACTGCGGTCGTCACCCCCCACCCGGCACGCAGGACAGGTGCACCAGCGCAAGCACACGGGAGGCT